ACGAACTTCCCCATCCAGCTCCTGCCGTACCCGCCATTCAAGCTCCGCACCGACCCTTCGAAACAGAACCCTTACATGCTTGTGGATGGGAAGTTTCTCGCTTTGCAGCTCATCGTTAACGGGCGAGCTGGGCCAGGAATCCGGGAGTTGCTACCTTCGGACCTGACTGCACTCGACGAACACATCCACCGCTGCAAACTGGGACCCTTCCGACCTGGCGTGGCTCGAGGTCTGGCGGAGGAGATGGCCACGGCGCCGAACCAAGCGGAGCATGCGCGAGCAGCGAAGGAGCTGCAAAAGCTGCGTTCAAAGGCCCGCTCGGAGCTGGGAAAGCTACGTCGGATCCAGGAGAACCGGCTTGCCCAGCTCAGAACGCCCGAGGAGCCAGGAGCCCTCCCGCAGAAGGAAGACAAAGGAAAAGACTCCGCAATCGCTGCTGGGTCTGCATTCCCACAGGATGTCGACATTCCTGCCTCTCAGTTCTTCGGACCCCTGCAAGTGAAGGGTATAGAGCTGAAGAGGATGTATTTGTGACAGGCCTTTGCCACTGCTGGATTGGATCCCTGCTTCGACAGCATCGGCTTGATGTATCACGAAGTGGACTGAGACTGCAGACCATTTTTGAATTTGCAGGTGAGCTTCGCGTTGAAGCCGGGATTCAAGAGAGTTCTCGGTTCCTGTGTGTTGCATGGCTGTCGTCATGGTTCTGTCTACTGGGCAGCCTGGGTTGTCCCAAGCGACTGCATCCATGCAACACTTTGCTTTTCCAGAACATGCTTTGAGCAGCGTCTTGTGCTCTCTCTCCTGACGGGAACAATCCAGGCAGTTTCTGCAGATAGAGGTGGTGGACTGCTGCCAGTATAGATAGTGCTTCCAGGACCCAAGCTCTAATACTATCATAATTGTTCGGGGCTTAGGAAGTGGGTCTTGCAGTCATTGTTGCGAATGTTGCAGTTTAGGTTGTGGATCTGAGACAGTTGAATGTTGAAGTGAGCCCTGCGCGAGCACTGTGCACAAAAATGTCCGGATGATTTCCAGGAAGCGATGAGAGCCTGGATAGTTTACCCTGCCCGGACTCCCTGTCGGCAACTCATCGGGTCGGGCACCGGCTTCGTGGATCGAGCCAAGTCCCGATTCCCAGAATCAGCCCAACCGCAGGTGACCCCGCTTTTCACGTAGCTTTCTTTTGTTGGAGATGATGCCCGACACAAGGCATGGCAAGAGAACTCTGGCCATGCCTTCTCCTTGAACCTGCGCCTTCCTCGGGGGTACCTCCACAATCCTCCACACAGCTGGCTTGCGAGAGTCAGAGTGAAGTATGCTGCAGAGAAGCTGAACGCTGGAACTTCGAGATCCCCATTTTTAACTGCATCCAGCGGCCATTTCGTACTCTGAGGCTGACGCAAGGCACCTTCCACGGCTCGAGGGCTCAAGGTGTACCTGTGTACAATGGAAAGCCATACCAAGATCTGCAGAGATTGCAGCTTGACTCAGCCTCGGGGATTTAGCTCCTGGGAATTGTTGTAACGAACTCGCATAGCGAAACTCCCGGGAATGGCGCGGGAATGTTCAAAGCCGCTTTGGCAGGTGCATCAAGCATTGACGCAAGTATTGACCTAATCAAGATCCTATGTCCAAGCCCGACTACTTGACTACTATAGAGCATTTCTTCAGCCCTGCTTTGGCGGCTACGTGGGCGCGTCGCGAACTGGATTGCTGAGATTCTTCGATAGGCGATGACGCTACAAGGTTATCTAGAGCTTGGAGGTTTCGAAGAAGCCTGTCGCAGGCTCTGTCTCAAGGGTAGCGGCCTCCGTGTTTTCGCTGGCCCGCAAACCCTAAGGCAGCCCTAGGCACCGTCTTAAGCACAAGGCCTCCGGGCGCCGTTAGGCAAGGGATCAGTGGTCGGCAGAAACGCGGAGCATTCTGTTCTTGGCATCTTATGCCACTCAAAATGCGATTCTTTCGACACCGCCCGGGCAGCTTACCAAGACGTGTGAGTTGGTGTTTGAAGTTTAGGGTTCAGCTTGAAGAAGCGTCATGGTTTTCCGCCATCGAAACCCACGACATTTGTCACACTGTAGCTTCCCGGACGGTGGAAATGTGATGCACGCACATACCGAATTTTTCAGTGCACGCGAAGCTACCTGCCCAGTGGGTGCTCCAAATGTGTACAGGTGTGGCGTGTGAATGCAGGAAGAGAGTCGCACTAGGCCATACTAGGCCACTAGGCCAGCTTACGAAACGACAAGAACTGGAGCACCCAGCAGAACACACGCGCCGGGTGCATGCGGAAGCCGCTGCCTAGACAGCGCCGCAAGCGCCTACGGCTTTGGCCGTTGTTTCCACAACGCCTGGAGCGCGGGGCATCGCAGTACAAGCTTTCTGGAGAGCCTGCAATCTGACCATGCATTTGCGTTTGTAGGTTGCGGCTCTAATATTCTATGTCCCTCTATGTTCTTCTCACTTTTCTTGTTTTATTGCTGCTGTGATCCATGCTGGCTCTCGGTCACGTCATGTCCCAGTAGCAAGCTCAGACCGTTACCGCCATGCCTGCTTTGCGAGTGAGTCGAAACCCCTAAGCCCAGGAGCAGAAGGTCTTGACCTGCAGCATGTGCAGCTCGGCAAAGGGGGATGCGCTCTCGGATTTGCTCAGAGCCTGAGGATTAAGGGTCCAAATCTTAAAGACAATCTTAGACATCTGAGCGTTTTGGGTCAAGAGTTCAGGGCTTGAGGCTAAAATATTCCCTGACCCAGCTTTTGGACTTTTGACCGTCTTCATGTTAGATAAGCTAATCCTATGTTCCCATCGTTTCGGTTTTGCAGACAATCCTCTATTGCTTTTCCTTATCGGGAAAGTAAGAAGCACTTCAAGACTTCGATACTGAGGCATGGGTCTCGAGGGTTTAGTCTTCAGGGCTTCCATAGTTTAAGTCCGCCGGCCGGGCGGGCCTGGCCGGCCTGGGATTGGCCCTGAGTCCAACCGGAGGTTAGGAAGCCCCAACATAGACCCTCAAAGAGTAGATAACCGCCCCACTTTGAGGTACCCCTACTTTTAAGAAGCTCCCATTTCGCTCTCCTCAGGTATGCGTGAGGTCAGGAAAGGTGGCTTCGAGTTCCTCTGCGGCGGCAAGTACCACGTCTGGGTGACCTGTGCCTTGGTGTAACGTGAAAGATTCGGCCGAGCAGAGCGAAACAGTCTAGTGTGTCTTCGCACAGGTAACCAACGAGCCATCCATACACCCAAAACATGTTCTACATGCTACTTTGTTTGCGTATGTTACAAGTATGTTGCCTGGCGCTGCTAGACTCTCCGCATGCAACGGCAGAGAGGGAGAGAGAGAGAGAGAGAGAGAGAGAGAGAGAGAGCGAGAGAGCGAGAGAATACACACATGGGTGTGATTTTGTTCGCTTGTTTGCTTGCTTGCTCGCTTGCTGGCTTGTTCGCTCGCTCGCTCGCTTGCCAGCTTAAGTGTTTGCGTGCTTACTTGTTTGCGTGTGTTGAGTGTGTGTTTCTTTGCTCGATTGCTTGCTTGCTTGCTTGCTTGCTTGCTTGCTTGCTTGCTTGCTTGCTGGGTATTTCTTGTGTGTCTGTTTGTGAGTATGGTGGATGGGTGGGTGGGTGGGTGGGTGGGTTGTTTGCCGGCTTGTTTGACTGTTTCTAGGCATTTTTGTTTGTTTGCTTGCTGGCTTGCATGCCTGTATGGCACTGTACTTATATGTTTAACATTGCATGCCAGAGCTTGAACTCACACGTCCGAGCTGCCTTCCTCAAAGTTGAAGTCGGGGGTTGAGAATGGTGCAGGTTGGTTTTTCTGTATGCTTTCGGCTCAAGGTTGAAGTGTCGTACAATTTCCCAGTGAGGTTAATCGCTGGCGTAATCAGAGGAGCATGGGGCAGTTTGCTTCGACAGCCCAATACATTTTGTTCAAGGGCCGTTCTAGACCCGGGCCTGATTTTTGCAAAACGACGTTGTAAACGAGAGAAATGTACCGTGGCAACATCTTCGAGCTTGTCCCGGCTGGTTGTGGGATACATCGCAGGGTCCCCCACGCCTATTGCCAAAACGGTCAGACAAAACCGGAGCCCCATGCATTTGCCAAGCCTCTGCACTCTCTCCTCCCTGGAGCGATCGAATCTGAACGACGCTCTGAGGTGGAGACGAAAATGGCAGCTGCAACTCGGCTTCCGATTCCAGGTTCACGGAATGTTCAGCTTTAGGGCTTAAGCTCAGGGTTTAGCATGTTTAGAATTTCAAGCTTGGGCGTGAGAGAATGTTGTGTTGGAGACTTGTCAACAACTGCTGCTTCTCTGTGCAGGAAACACCCTTGTTGTTACTGTATTTGCACTGCCGATCTCCTTTGACTGCCACACGTACACACACACACACAGAGACATGCAGACACATAATATGGTTATGCGTGTTTGTCATCGTCTCGGGTCGGTGCCAGTGTGGCGTCAACCACTTGCTCCGGCTTGTGCCGGGAAGAGTCGCCTTTCTTCGTGCGATCACATGGGGGTGAAAGGGCGCAGTACATATTGGGGTCAGAATGATCAGCAATAGTATCCCCGTCCAACCCCCAAAACAGAAGCCGGAACAAATACCTGTATGATGCGTTAGAGTTCCTTCATCTTGTTATACTGGAAGTTATACTGCTAATTCCTCCGAAGCCCTATTCTAGTCTTTTCAGGACCCTACAGTATAGTAGTACATGGTTATGATATATAGTGTGCGACAAGCCATGGTCTAATTTTGAAGTCCGCTATCAGCGCTTCACGCTTGTGTGCGGGCTCGGACCGCCGTGGCGGAGTAGCGCCATGCAGCCTCTGGGGCAGTATGGTGTAGTGCTTTTATAGGGCTTCAGCGGTTTAACGGGCTTTTTGGGCTGGTTTTGTAAGTTGTACGATTTTCTATAACATCAATCTGCTGTCACATGCTCCCGCCGCAGCTCGCCACAGATGAACTCGAAGTCCCCAACCCCTAACTCTTCGCCAAAATGTTTATAATTAACCTGTAGCTTCAGAACATCAGGGACCCCAAGGGACAATATCAGCCGGAATACTCGGATCCAATCCATGTGCCCGATTGAAAACAGACCCCCCCCCCAACTCTGCAGACTCCGCTCCCTAGCTCGGCGAGCGCTGTCTCAACCCTGAACCCTCAGGCCGGCTAGTCCTTGCATACGGCAGAGAGACCCAAAACCCTAATGCCAAACTCCCGAATCCTAAACCCTAAACTCCTACACCCTAAAGGCTATGAGAAGCTGCGGGCAGCGTGCCGAAAGCTCAAGCAGGGCTGCACGAAGGGGCTGAAGACCAGGCTCGACTTCTGCACCTTGTCATGTTAGGGCTTCAGGAGATTAGGGTTCAGGGTCTTAGGTTAGGGTTCGGGACATTAGGGTGCGGGAGGTTCGGGCTTTTGTTGCGAGGGGACTTGGCCGGGCGAGCTCCAATCAAGCCTGAGAGAAAAAGGGTTAGGGCTGCATAGGCGTTGGCCGGCACCTCAGTCCGAAAAGGGTTATATAGAGGTTCCTTGAAGGTTTGGTGACTTACGGGCTGGGGTTCGAGAGGGGGTATCTAGGAGCGGTTACGGCTTCTTGTGACTCGAAGCTTGATTTGGGCCGGGTCCTAATCAAGCCTTCCTTCAAACGTCCTTGTGCTGAGGATCCTGGTCATTGGTTTCAGTATCACTATCCATCGTTTTCTGAAAGGATCATCGGGATGCCAGAACACAATGTGCGTTGCCGGCGGGGAAGCAGATGGGTACAGTTATGTTCAGGCTTGAGGGGTGATGGGCATGAGGTGCGACTAAGACTATCTATCTCTCTCTCTCTCTCTATATATATTGTTTAAATAATAAATATATATATATATATATATACATACATATACTCATTCACGTCTGTGCACAAAGTGACATTAGCAGCACGCATGAAGTTGAAGCATCGATAGTCGAAAAGAGCATCTGGCTCCGGGTTTCAGGATCTCAGGTCAACTTCGGTGTCATCCTCCACTTTTTCAAGCGGGCCCGTCTGGGTCCCTTAGATCAAGCCGTCAATGATCTCCCGGCTGCACGCTGTGAAACTCTGTCATGGCCTGACGTTTAACCTTAAGCCCTCACCTTGCAAGGCTTTGTCCGAGGTCAAAACCCACTGAAGTATCCGAGTGTCAGACGCCTGAAGCCCGAACCCCAGATTCAACGCCGAATATAGAAAATTGCTGTTTATTCCACATCCTGACCCCTGCGTGAGACTTAGATCCTGAGCGCTTAAGGCGGTGCTGACAAGTTGCCCTGCCCCACCTACAAGCCCAATTCCGGTGGCTCTTCCTGCGGTTTGTCGATGACCCGGAGCGCTGGGAACGAGAAGGGAGCTTTAAACCTAAAGCCGTATCCAAGCGGGTTAGGGTTTTAGCAGAGTCGGTTCAAAAAATGTGTGTTGGCTTCATGGTTTGTCGGTACCTAGTGACATTTCGAGGCCACAAGATTTTGTCTGCAGCCTGGACGACCTTGACCATGCATTTTGGAGCTTGATATTCCAAGAGCGGGCACGGTCGGCTTTCTTGCCGGGTGGAGTCGCAGTGGACCCATTGTAGAAAGGATGTATCAATGTATCTTCAATCTGCATACTTTCGTGATCTCCCGAGGATGTGTATGGTTCTTGCCCATAACTGGGGGGGGTCCACTTAGACTTTTGGCATGATAGCAGCATCAAGCCAAAGGGCCTATACAAGTCTTGATGAATTATGTGTTGGGTCTAAGGGCCTATAATTATAATTATGGAGCTCTAGGCCCCACAGCCCAAGTCAGCTTCGGATCCAAATCTCCTGCGGTCAATACAACTAGAGCGAGTGAAGCGCCTCCAACTACACGGGTGCTTCTGTGAATTAGGGTCCCTTTTAGGGCCCTGTTTATGAGGGTGACGTACTATTTTGGGGGACCTAAAGAGGAACGCTAATTTAAGAGAGCTACCCATACAGGCTGGAGGCCAGAGCCGCATACAGGCCACATAGAACCTGTACTCTAGGCTTGCCGAAACCCTGCAAGCCCATTGAGCTCCCGAGCCTGGCTCTCATCCTGAACCCCAGTCCTACTGCTCGGCGAGAGTCTAAAAAACACCGAGCAGGAGCATCATCGCGCCGCTTCCAGAGGAAGACCCTGTGCCTACAGGAACTCCGGTTCGGCCACCGCCGGCAATTTGGACAGAGGTCAGATCTAAGCTTAGGGACGGATTAGACTAGGGTTTTCAATGGCATTTTAAACTTTGTTTAAAGGCTTGTATTATGATGATGATGCTGATGAAGACTATGATGTTTATGACTGTGGGGATTCTCAATACTGTTGTTATTGTTACTAGTTATCTTGTGCTACTGCTACTGCCATGATAGAACAGCTAGAGGCTATGG